ACAGAGTCTATGTAGGAGTCCCCAAGATATGGCTGGACAGTGCTGGAGGAGTGCTGCAGCGAGAGTTGCTCGCGAGGGTCCTTTCTCATAGCTCTGGGCTCCCCTAAGTAGGACAGGGGTGGCAGTGTCACCTTGCTCCTCATCACAGGCATTTTGGTGTTCAGTGGGACTCAAGGTAGGGGCGGGGCTGGGGACCCCGAAGCGTGGCAGGCTGCCTAGCCCCAGGATCCTGGCTGCATTTCTCCTTGCCCTGTGGCAGGTCTCCACCTTCACCTGCTCTCTGGAGACCACATCCTGCTCTCACAGTGCTCAGGGAAGGTGAAGGGTAAGGGCTGGCCCACACAGAACAGCACCTGTACTGGCCCTCACAGCTGGTGCTATTCCTCTGGCCTCAGGTGTCCAGCTGTGCTGATGGCACCACAAGTTTTTGTCTGTCTTTCAGCAATTCTGCCTCACCAATTATATGAATGCCATGTGGCTACCACCAGCATCCCACAGCCAAGTTTCACATCAACATGGACAGATACTCAAAGTTTAGGCGACAATTCCTCCTTACCCCCACCCTCTTACCCGCCTGTGCCATGGAATACTGTCCCAGACTTCATCGGAAAAACACCAATCATTAGAGTAAAGCCAGAGAAGTGGAGGGTCAGTGAAATCAAGGGCAGTCCTACATGTGATGGACTGAACATGGCCTCAGTGGGCCAAAAGTGCAGGACCAGGGAAACATTTCCTTCTGCTGGACATTAAGGTAGATATGAGGTGTGACTGATGATGCCCAGCATCTTTCCATGCGCCACGTGTATAGCTTCTGTGGTGAGATGTCTATTGGAATCCTCTGTCCATTTCCCGACTGGGTAGCCTGTCTTTTGCTGTTCCGTGGCAGGAGTTCTTCACGTATTCTGCACGGTAAACTCCGATCTCCTATGTTTCCTCCCAGTTTGCAGGTTCTTTCTTGGGTCTTGTGCAGCTTGTGCTCAGCCATCAAGATGTTCACGGCAGGTAGAGCTCAGAGCTGCAGGGGTCACGGGGGCGTGAGGTGTCCTGATCTATGGAAGGTAGTTTGTCTCCATGCTGAGCAAGTTTCTAGGCCCCTCCAGGTCCACCCAGTGACACCCCATAAAACATGGAGCTCTGACATCAACCCCGTGCTGCCCTCAGGAAGTAAGGTTGAGTTGGGGGACAGACATGCTCAGGCCACACTGGTCAGCAGTGGGAGATCAAGAACAGCACCAGAGGCAGGAAGGGTTCTAGGGAGACTGAAGTTGATGGTGCACAGGATAGGGTGGCAGGGAAGAAACCCTCCCACCCACAGGTATGGGCCAGAGGCCCTGCACTGTGTGTGAAGACAGCCTGGTAGTGTTGAGGTCTCGGGGGTCCCGGTGCACACCATCACCTTCATCGTGGGTGGGGTCTTGAAGAGATGGGGGAGGGTAGGTGGGGCGGGAGGGGGGACTCCTGTTCGCCACCCCCACTGAGCTAGCGTCTAAGATTAGATGGCCACCCGCCTGGTGACGCAGGACGGTGCGGGGACAGTCTCCACGGGCACTGTGCGCCTTCCGCTTGCAGGGAACCCAGCAATTTTCTGCCCACTCCTTTTCCAAAAAAGACGCATGTTTGAAATGTCACTAGGCTGAGTCTCCTTCCTGAGCCCCACCTCGGGGACCAGCGGCAGCACTGCCCATCAGTGCCCCCACCCCACCTACCCAGGGGAGGGCATCACGCCAGGGGAAGGGGGAGCAAAACCTTCTAGAAAACGGTTCCAATGTACCAGGAGAGGGGCCACCAATCCCTGACCCTTACTGTGCCTAGGCAGGAGCTTCAGATCCCAATCATTGAATGTACACCGAACCTCTAGGGATGTCACAGCAATCTGGGTTCATGCAATTGTACACTTGTACACCTCCATACTACAGGGGTGGGGATGGGGGTGTGGCTGGGGGCTCAGACATAGTGAGGTCCTGGGGATAGGAAACCTAACTCCTCTCCACTTTAGGACACTGTCTCAGGACAGAACTGTCCCTCACCCCTGTCCCAACCTCTGTGGCACCCGCCTTGCTAACTAGACTCCTCAGAGCATCATGGCCCATAGTGGCCTTTCTGATCCATGATGTCACTGTGCAGAAACACAAATGTGACACACCACACACCTCAGGCATGAGGTCAGCTAGTGTCCCCTGTTCTCAGAGCACCCTCAGGCTGGTGGGGTCAGCTCCCTATCATCACAGGGAGGACATGAGGGTCAAGGCAGCTCAGCAGGTACCTTCACTGTACCCTATGGCCATCTGCTGGAAGGCAGTTCATCACAAGAAAGAAAAGACAGCAGATCATCTGGTCTCAGGTCTGCAGACCCCAGGCTGGGGGGAAAGGGCCACGGGTGGAAGGAGGTTAGGTCCTAGAAGACACCCAAGTCTACTGGGTCACAGCACAGAGGTGCATGGGAGAAGTGTACAAGACCACTGGGAGAAGTTGGGGAGTTGTGGAGGGGTGGATTTGGGGCTCGAGGAATAAAACAAAACTGACCCAAAGTCACTGCTGTCAAGTTGACTCTGTGCCAGAGTAGAGCTGGGCTCCATAGGGTTTTCTTGGCTGCAGTCTCTCCAGAAGAGATTAGAGCAGGTGTTTTCTAAGTAGCCAAAAGATGGACACAACCCAAGTGTCCAGCAGCAGATGATGGATGCAGCCAGCGTGGCCAGCTCACACACTGGAGTACCACTCAGTCACTAAGAGAAGTGGAGTCCTGCTGCAGGCTACCACACGGATGAACCTGGAACACACTACTCAGGGAGGAAGTCAGACAAGGAAGGACACGTACACTCAGAGCCCGCGTCTACGGAATCTCTACAAGTAAATGCAGAGACCAAACTTCACTGGTGGTCACCAGGGGCTAGGGGAGGGCTACTGCTGGGGGTGCTGGATTTCTGTTGGGGGGAGGAAGGGAGAGGCACATAATGTTTGGAAACGGGTGGTGCTGTACAGTGTGGGAACTGTGACTCGTGCCATGGAATTACACGTGTAAAAAGTGGTGGAAACAGCAAGTGCCTTGTGACATATATTTTACCACCAAATTAAAAAACAACAAACAAACAAACATGGAAAGCAAAGGGTTCAGGTCAGTGGCTGAGTGTGCGAGGGAGAGATGGTCCCACTGGGGCCACTCCGCCCTGACCCCCAGCACCGAACTGTGACGGGACTGTGTCTCCTCGCCAACCAGCTGTGAACTAATTACACAAAGTTCTAGTTGAGCTCCCTCTCCAAGCATATGTTCCCAATTAAGTCACACTGCAGCTGATTTTATCCATCTTCTGTGAAGACTCTCCGTCTCCAGGGGAGAGCGGGGAGCAGGGAGTATGAGGGGCACTCCATGGCCCCAGCACTGGGCACACAGCTCAGAGGGCACTCAGGGCCCAGCCTCCTCCCGCCTGCAGCGGATGGCCCAGAACTTCTCACGTCTGGGAGGTCTTTGCAAGTCAGCTGTGGGGCCAGGACTGTCCAGGACGACTGGGACCACAGGGCCATGGGCAGGTGGGTTCAGACCTGGGTCTGTTTGACACAGATGCCGAAGTGCTGGCCCTTCCCTGGACCACCCTCATGTCCACATGGCTGACTCCAAACCACTGTCACCCCCACTGCCTATCTGCAGGATTCGGCCTTAATACGGGACCAGATGTGCCAGAGCCAGCCCCCCAGGCCCAAGCACCCCAAGATGCATGCTGCACAAAGAGGGGCCTCTACTCCTAGGTGGTAGGTGGTAGAGCCCTATGGGGGTTAGTTAGCATCATCCTGACACAGAGCAGCCCACCACCCTCCCAGGAACCACAGGTGACAGTGGGGGCCAACGGGAGCTGGTTGCACACAGCATTCAGCCCTCACCACTGGGCCCACCTACTTCTCAAAACCATGCCAACCGTACCCAGGACTATCGGCCCCGATGCCCAGAAAACAGGGTGAACACTTGTGTCAGGGACAACCCGAGAGACATTAGCACTCCCACATGATGTGGCCCATGATGGTGGCCTGTGGCCGCCCTCTGCCCTACCCCCCACCCAGGGTCGGGAGCCAAATTACAGCATTACAATGACAGTTTTAAGAGCAACACTCGGCTGCTGCACCACGCTTTATCAAAGTTGTCACTTCTCCCACTCCAGGAACGGGTAATAAAAAAGAGATTCGATTCGCTGCTAATAGATGTCAAGATAAAATCTATGGCCTGTCTAAAGTCTGGGTAGCTTCAACCTGGGGGTTCCTGCCATGGGACCATTCAGACCAAGGGGAGAAGAAGGAAGGAAAAAGGCTAGAGAGTGGAAACAGTGGCCCTGTGACAAGGTGGAAGACAAGTGGCATCTGTGGAGACTGGCTCGGACAGAAACCCAGAACCAAACAGACAAGTGTCTGCAGCAGCTACACCTACATGTGTCCAGCTCCCAAGGGTGCCAAGACCCTAGAAGGCCCCAGGATCTCTTGTCAGCAGCAAGGAGAAGAGAGGGCAACACTTGAGTGTGTATGGGGGTGTGCAGCCATCCATGGAGCAGGAACGCGCTTCCTGGAAGGAACAGGGGATAGGGCGGCCGATTCACAAATGCCAGTTCATGGTCAGGGACACACACCCAGGCCAAGGGGATGCACTTGCTCTGCTGGACCTGAGGACGCATGTGTCCTACCACAGAAGGGGTGTGTGTGATGGCTTTCCCTTAGTTCACTGAGTTAGGATGTAGAAGGAGCTCTGGTAGCATAGTGGTTACGATCGGGCTGCGAACCTTAAGGTCAGCGGTTCGAAACTACCAGCTGCTCCGCGGGAGAAAAATGAGGCTTTCTATTCCCGTAAAGATTTACACCCTCGGAAACCCTATACAGGGTCGCTATGGGTCAGAACCGACTCGATGGCACATAGCATAACAACGGTCTGTGGGTACAGGAACCAGAGACAGGCATGTTGGGGAAGAGCCAGGAGGCCAGGGAATGGCTGACAGAGATGTGTACCGCCGCCCCCCTACACCTACCTTCAGGGTGAGCTTCTCCAGCTGCATCTCCAGGGCCATCTTCTCTTCCTCCAGGTGCCTCCGCTCCCCTTCCAGCTCCTCAACCTTTAATCTGTGCAGAGAGAAAGTACTATAGATTGGACTGTCTCCCCCAAATATGTGCAGTAAATCCTAACCCCTACCTAACCACAAGGTTGGTGCTTCAAACCCTCCGGCTGCTCCTCAGAAATCTTATACAGGGTAGCTATGCGTGGGAACTGACTTGACGGCACTTCACAACAACAACGACAAGAGTGAAGGAAAGAAGCTGTAGTAGCATGACAGTTAAGCGCTTAACCACTAACGGCACGATTGGTGGTTGGAACCCACCCAGCGGTTCCATGGAGAAAATACCTGGCGATCTGCTCCTGTAAAGGTAACGGCCTAGGAAATCCTAAAAGGCAGCTCTGCTCTGTCTCTCGGGGTCGCCAGTTAACTCGACAGCCCCCCACAACAGCACACGAGGTGAAGGAAGCAAGATCAGGCGGTGCCTGGTCCTATCAGTTAGATGAGACAGCATTATTTATGGAGCATGGAGTGTAGACTTTGGGAAGATCTTAGCTCAGAGGTGGGCAAAAGTCAGCAGGCGACTGAGCACTGCCCCAGGGCAGCTGAGCAAATCCGAAAGGCAGCACCTGAAAGAACCAAACTCTTCCCAAGAAACTGCCTGCAATCCTGAGCAACACTCAGGACGGTTGACAAGAAAACAAAGCATCCAGCACCCAATACGACAAAGTTCACAATGCCTGTCATCCACTCCAAGATTGTGGTGGTTAGGTCTAGCTAAATCACTTCCAACCTTATGCACAAATGAAACCCTGCTTGATCCTGCGCCACCCTCAAAATTGTTGCTACACTTGAACCCATCTTTGCAGCTACTGAGTCAGCCCTTTTTGTTGAGGGTCTTTTTAACTGACCCTCTACTTTACCAAGCAGATGTCTTTCTCCAGGGACAGGTCTCTCCTGGTGGTACATTCCAAAGTACGTGAGATGACGTTTTTCCATCTCATTTATAAGGCGCAGTCTGGCTGTACTTCTTCCAAAACAGGTTTGTTTGTTCTTCTGGCAGCCCAATATACTCCACCAACAACATAATTCAAAGTTATCAATTCTTCTTCGATCTTCTTTATTCACTGTCCAGCTTTTGCACATATATGAAGCAACTTAAAATACCATGGCTTGAGGTAGGTGCACCTTAGTCCTCAAAGTGACATCTTTGCTTTTGACACTTTAAAGGGGTCTGTGCAGCAGAGATCCCTGACAACTTCAATCTTTCCTAAAATGATCATGATGTTTCTTGTTGGTCTGGTTGTGAGAATTTGTGCTTTATGTTGAGGTGTGACCCATACTGAAGGCTGTATTCGTTGAACTTCATCAGAAAATGCTTCAACCCCCCCAACCCCCCCCCCCAAAAAAAAAAAAAAAGCTAAAGAGGA